AGAAATTTTCCAAATTTGTTGAAAACTATAAACCTATAGATTCCAGAATCTCAATGAAACCTAAGGAAAAGAAGCATGAAAAAACTACACCAAGAGGAACAAAGATAACAATGACATCAAATGTCTCATGGGAAACAAGACAAGCAAGGTGATAGTTGAGAAACATCTGTTTCATTTTTTTATTTTAGAGACACAGGCTCTTACTATTTTGCCCAGACTGGTCATGAACTGAGCTGAAGCAGTTCTTCCACCTTAGACTCCCAAATAGCTGGGCCTGCAGGTGCATGCTACTGCACCCAAGAAGTATATTTAAAGACTTGAAAGAAAAAAAAAAAAAACTGTCAACCTAGGATTCTCTACCCAGCAAAAATATCTTTCAGAAATGAAGGTGAAAGGGAGACTAGTTCAGACATAGGAAAGATGAAAGGATTCATCAACAGCAGACCTACACTACAGGAAACGTTGAAAGAAGTTATTCAGGCAGAAGGAAAATGATACAGATAATACATGTAGATATAGATCAGTACAAATGAAGGAGCACAAAAAATGGTAATTATATAATTACATATAAAATACTTCTTATTACCTAAATCTCTGAAAAATAATTGACTGTTTAAAGCAAGAATAATATTATGAAGTTTATCATTTATGTAGAAGTAAAATATGTGACAAAAATAGCAAATGCTACATAGTAGTAGTGTCTTGTAAAGTTCATATACATGCAATAGTATAGTATTAATTGGAGGCACATTATTAAAAGATGTATACTATAAGCTTTAAAGCAACCACCAAAAACATACAACAAAAAATATAATAAGAACCAAAGGATATAAAATAGAATCCTAAAAAGTGGTTAATTCAAAAGCAAGGAGGAAAATAAGGAAAAGGGAATAAAGTACAGATAGGACTAAAAACAAATAGCAAGATAGCAAATTCACACTCAACTATATCAATAATTACAGTAATCAAATTAAATGTAAGTGGTCTAAACACCCTTAGTCCATTTTCAGTTGCTTATAACAGAATACCTGAAACTTGATAATTTATAAAGAAATTTATTTCTTATAGTAATGGAGGCTAAGAAGTCCAAGGTAGAGGGGCCACATCTAGAGAGGGCCTTCTTGCTGGTGGGGACTCTGCAGAGTCCTGAGGTGGCACAGGGCATCACATGGTGAGGGGGCTGAATGTGCTAGCTCACATCTTTTCCCCCTCTTCTTGCAGTGCCATTAGTTCTACTTGCATGGTAACCCATTGAACTGTTAATCCGTAAATGGATTAATCCACTCTTTGGGAAGAGCACTCATGACCCAGTCACCTCTTAAGGCTTCAGTTTTTGGTGCTGCCACGTTGCATTGGAAATTAAATTTCAACATGAGTTTTGGAGGGGACAAATATTCATACCATAGCACACCCCAATTAAAAGACAGAGGTTGCCAGATGGATAAAAAAGCAGAACCATACTACACACTGCCAATAAGAAACCTATATTAAATGAAAAGATATTTGTATTTCCATTCCCAAGACCTTAAAACAGCCTATTATATCAAAATCAAATTCCTCTCTCTAGGTGTCAGCACGCTGTCAAATTGAGCCATCCCTGCATATCCTTGTACTTTAGCCCAACTAGTTCCTGCCACACCCTGTGCTGACCCTTGCTTATGTTTTGTTCCCTACGCAGAATTTTTCACAATTCTCAAGACCTTTTTGCTTATTTATAACTCTTTATTCGTGCTCATGCCAGACCAGTTTTGACTGACCTGTCCCCTTAGTCAAGCCCCATCATAACTAACCATTGTCATAGGTTATAGAATGTCAAAACTCTTAGAACAGTGAAGAAGTTTCTGCCCATTTACCTTATTTTGTAGATGAGAACTCTCTGAGACCAATGAGATTATGTGGCCAACTCAGGTTCATACAAGTTTAGTGATAGTGTAGTAGGACCAAGACGTATCATTGTTTTCTGTAATTATCTGCTACTCACAATTAAGTATGTTTGAGGAGAATAGTTATGATGTGTGTGTATGGCATTAATATTTGTGCAAATATTTTATGTGCCTGTCTTCTTTCCCAAATTAGACTGTGAGCTACCAGTAGACATCTTTTATTAGTATTCTAGTGCTTAAAAAATGCTGGATATGTAGGTACAGAGTGGAATATGATATTTGATTAATAAACCTAGAATCCGAGTAGACAAGATTATAAAACATAGGATAATGATTCATTAGTTTTTACTATTTGAAACGGTGATTGATTCCTTTATGTACAGTAGTTAGGATTCAATTATATCTCAATTTCCAAATTTTGCTACTCATATAAAGTTTGATTCAGTGCCTTTACATCCGCTGAGATTTTTCAGCCTTAGTATAAACTCTGCTTATTATATTATCTGCAAGTTTTCACAGAGGTCTAGACCTGTGCCATCTGATAGAGTGGCCACTAGCTATTTAAATTTAAATGAACCAAAATTAAATAAATTTTTAAATTCAATTTCTCCATCCCAGTAGCCAAACTTCAGATGGCTGTTAGCTGCTGTATTGGAGGACAACAATAAAGAATATTTCCATCATCACAGAAAGTTCTGTTCATCTAGAATTTCTTATATGATGATAAATTGTTTTGTGTACAAAAAGGGAAAGCAAAGATTTTTACAGGATTCACATTGATGAGTCAACCATTCTGGTAACCTGATGGCAATTCTAAAGTGTCAGTAGTAATTCCAGTGGTTGTTCCTTCACTGAAAGGGGCCTGTATTTTCTCATCCTCAATGGTACAGGCTTCTAGTCAGGTACACAGATAATCCATTGAGCAGAAAATATATATTCCATCTTTACCTTCTGTTTAAGTGTGTATTTATATGTCTTAAATATTTTAATTGTAGTAGAATATTTATATAAATGCTTATAATAAGGTGTCTGCTCAAAATATTTTTATCTTCTGGGGTACATAATCCAAAGTGTGGAAGCTGCTTCTCAAGTGTCCGTCAACATAGCAACCTAGCTGCTCACTGCTCTTCCTCTGTAACTCCTGTCATCACAGTTAGCTGTCGTCACCAGCTAACTGACTTCATGGTTTTTGTCTCTTTTCAAACTCCTTGAGAGAGAATCTGATTAGCTAGACCACCATCCGGAAGTAGTTGGGCAAAGCTCTTGACTTAAGACATAAATAAACCCCTTGCCAACCTTGAGATGGTGCCTTTAATTGAAATACCCATCCCCAGTACATTTTGCTATGATGATGCTGGAATTAAAATACAAAGCATGAAACCCATGATTCAGAAACCTTTCCAGAGAAGGCAATGGGCTTGGCAAGTATTCTAGACCTCCTTTTAAGAGAAGCATGTACTGCCTAGCACCTTATGTTGCCCATCAAATGTGTTCACTGAAAATAAATTATGGCCAAGCGCAGTGGCTCACACCTGTAGTCCCAGCATTTTGGGAGACCAAGGTAGGAGGATTGCTGGATCCCAGGAGTTCAAGACTAGCCTGGGTAAACATAGGAAGACCCTGTCTCTCCAAAATATAGAATTACCCGGGCCTGATGGCACCCACCCGTAGTCCCAACTACTTGGGAGGCTGAGGTGGGAGAATCATTTGAGCCCAAGACTGTGCCACTGCGCTATGGCCTAGGCGACAGCAAGATCCTGTCTCGTAAATAGATAACTCTCCAAAAAAAGGAAGAACAGAAAAAGAAGTCATTTGAATGTTTTTATATATGTTAAAGATTGAGGAAGGTATCATAAGCTGAGGAATTCAGATGTCCTCTAGAAGTTAGAATAGGTAAGGAAACAGTTTTCTTCCTGAAGCCTCTAGAAGGAATACAGACCTGCTGAAATCTTGCTTTTAGACTTCTCATCTCCGGAACTGTAAGAGTAAGTGTGTGCTATTTTAAGCCACTAATTTGGTAATTTATTATAGAAGCAATAGGAAACTAATTGATATCCAGATTCTACAAAGCTTTTATTAAGCACTTTCTACGTGACAGGCACAAAAATAGTCATCATCATCATCATCTGAGCTCCATTTTCTAAATCTTTTTACCCTCATAGGGCTGTTGTAGAGCTAAATCAATCACTGCCTTTCATCATGGGTAGACTCCTAAATCCAGTAGAATGCTTTCTGTTGCCAGTAAGATAATAGGAATTTGTTGGCTCCAATAACTGAGAAGTGCAAAGGCTGGTAAACCAGAGTGGACTCTGGCCGCATTTCTCTGTGAATCTCTTGGCTCTGTTTTTTTCCGTTGTCAGCATCGTGCTTGGGCTAGTGGCCCCATCTCAACGTGGCTGCCTGGAACAGCTTGGGCTGTGTGCTGTGACTGAACTATTCTGATTAAAGTGAGCAGGAAGGCCGGGCGTGGTGGCTCATGCCCGTAATCCCAGCACTTTGGGAGGCTGAGGCAGGCAGATTGCTTGAGGCCAGGAGTTCAAGACAAGCCTGGCCAACATGGTAAAACCTTGGTCTCGACTGAAAATACAAAAATTAGCCAGGCCTGTGATCCCAGCTACTCGGGAGGCTGAGGCAGGAGAATGTCTTGAACCCAGGAGGCAGAGGTTGCAGTGAGCCAAGATCACGTCACTGCACTCCAGCCTGGGCAACAGAGTGAGACTCTGTCTCAGAAAAATAAAGTGACCAAGAGGAATTTCAGGTATTAATTAGTTTGGAAGAGTCTGTATCTGGGGATTGGAGTCAGTCTCAGCCAAATTGCTTGGTTACTTTACTTAGTACGGGAAGGGGGCATTATGGTTGCCCTTGGAAAATATGGGTGGTCGTAGGCAGGGAAAAGGATACTGGTAAATAATCAAGAACCTGTTTCAACCAACAAAAAACAAGTTATAATCATACCTTAAAATAATGGCTAAAAATGTTATTTATGTAATGCTCCATTACTTTAATTTGTATGTGTCATCAAAAGTTCAAAATTGTATGTTACTCAAAGACATTTCAGGGAAGGTGTCTTAAAAGTTCTTAGGAACCTAGGAAAGGTGTCTTCCTCCTTTTTTGCAGCTCGGTGCTGATTATTACAACTGTTTGGTGACCTACTTCACCGACCTGTGAGGATTTCTTCCCTTTAAGTACTGGATTCTTGATCTTTCTGCATCATCAAAGTCCTAACTGCAATGAATTAGACTCTTGCTTAAAAAAAAAGCTTTATAAATGTAAAACTTTCTCATATAAACATCTTTTTATGTAATGATCGTTATTTCTGACATCTCTAATTGAAGTTCTTGATAACTTAAGCAAAATTAAGATGTTTGATATTCATGGTGTCAAGAGATTTATAGTAGTCAGTCATTTCTAAATCTTCAAAACTAGTAAAAAAGAAAGGGCTCATTTTGTATATATAAAACCAAATATAATCTTAAGCAGTATACTGATTATTTTTGGAATAAGGTAAAATTTGGAAAACCAAATTTTTTTTCCTATATAAGTCAATTTGAGCTTTCAGTTACCCGACAGATTGCTCCAGCAATAATTGGTAATTTTATAATTAACTTCTGTTTGTAGCGAGTGACTAATTCTGTAAAATGCTATGAGAGACAAGATAAAGTCTTTAAAACGTATTATTAATTGAAATAGCATTGGAGGAATACATTATACATTTGCTATGTAATTTTTTGAAATAGCTTTACGTATGTTATAAGTTGCCTTCGGCAAGTAGTTTTGACTTTTGTAGTGTGGAAATGACATTCAGCTGTAGGAACTCTAGCTTCTTAAGATTTTGCTGATAATTTAGAGCAGTGGCTGCACAGCAAAATCACTCAAGAGCTCTGAAAAAAATAACTCGTCTTCCAGAGATTTTTGATTTTGATTTTGTTTTTCTGCAGTGAGGAAAATGTATCTATAATTTTATAAGCTCTTACAAGTAATTCTACTGACTAGCTTAAAGAATTTTGAATATCACTATCTTGAAGGATTTTGAATATTACACAAATAGGGCATAACTTGGAATAGCAATGGACTGTGTAATGTACCAGATCAGTGGTTTAAATAAATGCCCAAAAAATTGTCCATATTGTCAGAAAAAAATTGAGACTTCTTCTAAAAAAGCATTTAAGGGTCAGGTGTGGTGGCTCAAGCCTGTAGTCTCAACTGCTCAGGCGGCTGAGGTAGTAGGATGGCTTGAGTTCAGGAGTTCTAGGTTATGGTACACAATGATCACACACTGCACTCCAGCCTGGGTAACATGGTTAGACCTTGTCTCTTAAAATACAGTGAGTTTATTACCGTTTATTACCAGTCTAATCTAACTCCAGTGTGGTTAGGGGGTAGGACTAGACCTTGACCACAGTGTTCAAGTAGATAGGAAATGAAGGTTGATTGAATACGTGAGTGAATGAAGAGTTATGCTTCATTCACGACGACAGATGCTTAATCCGTATCAGAGAAGTGAAACTTTACTTTTAAAACCTGCCAAGCAAAAAGAAAGCACAATAGCTCACCATAGTTTGTTCTATAAAGCCTTGTTTACATTCCAAAGCACTTTCACATTAATTAACTTTTCTCATTCACACGTTTCAAATTTTAACAATACATTTAGCCAGGAAGATCTCTTTTAACCCCAGTCACAGAAAAGCTAAAACCACATAGCAGCCTGGCAGTAATATTGGATCCAGTTAACATGAAAAATTAGAAATAATATTTTTCAAAATATAACATTTGGGTCACTTCAAATTAGTGGTGAAAAGGTGAGTTATTCAGTAAGTGGTGTTGGGACAGTTAGCTATCCATCTGGAAAATAAAGTTATGCAAAATAAATTCCAGATGGATGAAAGAGTTAAAATTCAGATACAACGAGAATTTGGGGGATTTTAAAAATGTGATCATGGGATGGGGAAGGCCTAGAGCAGAACCCCAATCTAGAAGTCATAAAAGGAACTACTGAGTGGTAGTATACTGTGGTAGGTAAAGACTTGCCGTCTGATTTCATGCAGTTTAGGTTTATTTCCATTTCTGCTTATTGCAACTCTATGATCTAAAAATATCGTATAAACATCCAAAAAGATGTTTACTCAAGGAAATAATATTACAACAATGAGCTATCATTCTTCACCTCTTAAATTGGCAAAAATTTTAAAGAATTGGAAAGAGGTGAAAAAGTACAGTCCCTCATATTCTGTCAGTGAAGTATAAGTCATACTGTATTTTTTTGAAGGGCAAATTGGCAGTATATATTAAAAGTTAAAATAGGTCAGGCTCAGTGGCTCACGCCTGTAATCCCAGCACTTTGGGAGGCCGAGGCGGGCGGAGCACAAGGTCAGGAGTTCGAGACCATCCTACCTAACATGGTGAAACCCCGTCTCTACTGAAAATACAAAAAAATTAGCCAGGCATGATGGCGGGCACCTATAGTCCCAGCTACTCGGGAGGCTGAGGCAGGAGAATGGCGTGAACCCAGAAGGCGGAGCTTGCAGTGAGTCGTGATCGCACCACTGCACTCCAGCCTGGGCAACAGAGCGAGACTCCATCTCAAAAAAAAAACAAAAAAAAGTGAAAATAAGTATGTCCTTTGACTCAGCAATTTCAGTTCTAAATATCTGTCCTAGAGAAAAAGTATACATTTAAAAATATGTACTAGGATTGTTACTGAGGCATTATTCAAAATAGCTAAACATATATATATATATTCTAAATGCTTATCAGTATGGAAATTGACCTGTTGGGGGTAAGTGGAGAAGGGAGATTCTTTTTTTGAAAATCTATAGGTGTCTGTGATTTTGCTGTGAAAAAACACTAGAAATGTTTTTAGATAGTATTTTTCCTAAAAATTGTTAGCTAGTGTTTTGTACTAAGTAGCAATTGTAAGGCATGGCTATTTTAAATCAAATGTAGTATTTTGAATGTCTTTCTATAAACAAATTTTATAACTGCTTTTTTTCACAGAATGGAAACAGACTGTAATCCCATGGAGCTAAGCAGTATGTCAGGATTTGAAGAAGGTTCAGAGCTTAATGGTTTTGAAGGAACTGACATGAAAGACATGAGGCTAGAAGCTGAAGCAGTTGTAAATGATGTTCTCTTTGCCGTTAATAACATGTTTGTCTCGAAAAGCCTGCGGTGTGCAGATGATGTGGCCTATATCAATGTGGAAACAAAGGAAAGAAACAGATATTGCTTAGAGCTCACTGAAGCAGGGCTCAAGGTAACTCACTTCTCCTTTTAGAAAAAAAAAAATATGTCTTCACCACTTTATCAAAAAGAGAGGTATTGGGGAGGGGAAGAGTGTTAAATGAGAACTGAATATTCAGTAGCTTCTAAATTTTTTTAAGAAAAACTTTTTACCTAGAATTTTTAATAATTTTAAAGGCTTTTGATCGATACAGGGAAACCGAATTTTTTTGAAAAACATTTGGTTTGCAGGGTGTGACTTTGTTTTAATCATGACCCCCGAAACTAATTTATTTCTCATCTGTAGCTAAATGTGTTCACCAAAATTATATATACATTCTCTGCATTGAATGAGTTTTGCAGTTATTGTGTTGAAAAGATCTTCATCAACCTCTTGGAAATGTCTCTTCTGTTAAAATAACGTACTTGACAACACTGTTTTCCAACTCTGAGATCAGAAATAAATCAGAGCAGAACATTCCGCCCCCGGATTTCCAAGAGTGTCCCATTAACCCTTTATTATGAGTATCTCTTTATTATGAGAGCTCTTCTAGGCAGATTAACCTTTCCATTCTTTAAACCAAAATCATGAGTTTAGAATAGTAGAAAACATCACCTGAGAGCAACTTTTAATTAAAAAAGAAAAAACTATAGGACAGGCCTGTGGACTCTTGCCTGTAATCCTAGCACTTAGGGAGGCCAAGCTGGTAGGATCATTTCAGGCTGGGAGTTTGAGACCAGCCTGGGTAACATAGCAAGACCCTGTTTCTACAATATATTTTTTGTTAATTAGCCCAACATGGCAGCACTTTCCTGTAATCCAGCTACTTGGGAGGCTTAGGAGGGGGACCATGTGTCTGAAGTTGCAGTGAGCTAGAATTGGGCCACTGTACTCCAGCCTGGGTACACATACCCTATTTAAAAAAAAAAAAAAAAAAAAAACCGTTATAAAAACCTTTGAGCTACTGAACAACGGGATAGACATTATCCCAGCACTTTGGGAGGCCGAGATGGGCGGATCACGAGGTCAGGAGATCGAGACCATCCTGTCTAACCCGGTGAAACCCCGTCTCTACTAAAAAAATACAAAAAACTAGCCGGGCGCCGTGGCGGGCGCCTGTAGTCCCAGCTACTCGGGAGGCTGAGGCAGGAGAATGGCGTAAACCCGGGAGGCGGAGCTTGCAGTGAGCTGAGATCCGGCCACTGCACTCCAGCCTGGGGGACAGAGCCAGACTCCGTCTCAAAAAAAAAAAAAAAAAAAGATCTAAAATCTAGTTTTAACCTTACTAATCAATGAATCTTCAGTCTTAACAAATGTCATACATTTCTGTGTTTCTATATTTGTTCAAAGTAATTGTACGTTATCATAAGGTGGTGAGCTAGGCCTACCTAAGCAAGTAAGAATGTCACATGATATTATCTTAAGTACATAAACATCTCTTTACTTCACTGGATTCAGTTTGCTGAAGATGAGTCGTGTATACTGTATATTCCTTGATGGAGCAAATTGCAAGGCCAGCATCTGTACTACCCTCAATTTCCTCACAGCTGCCACAAAGATAGCTGCTTAACTTTAAGCGTAGTACCTGAATTAACTAATTTTTGTGCACTTCTTTTCACATCCTTAAATTTGTACTAAAAGCTCAGAGTGTTTAGAGGTGAATCCTAAATCAGAAGTAGAGATAAATGACAGAATTAGTAAGCTAATTCTGTCTTGTGTTGGTTAATTCTAAGTTGGCGCTGGAGAGATAGAAGGAGTTCTGATCAGAAAGTCAGCAGTCTTAAATGTGAATTTAAATGATCTTAGGTGAATCTGTCTACCCCTGAGAGTTCCTACTTCTTAATCTATAACTTGGAGATTTACAAAAACTTAAAACGATTTGGGGAATGATTATATGATGGTGTGATACAGAAAAATCTGAACCATTTGTAAAACCTGACATGTAGTAGGTGCTCAAGTATTTGTTTTTCAGTCTGATTCAGTTAACATTTATTGAGCAACTATCCTGTGTCAGCAATTGAAAATCAAACCATGAATAAGACGTGATCCCTGTGCACCAGGAAGATCACAGTCTAGCAGTGATAAGAGGAAGAAGGCAAACTGAACTGTACTCCACTGTAGAGAGTACAGTAATCAAGCATGGATCTGAAGAGGTGTGATTCATTTTCCTTAGGCGTCTGCCTCTGCTTTTCATTTAAAAAAAAAAAAAAAAACTCAGCTTCTATTTCTAACATAAACTTTCACCTTCTATGGCTTAAGTAGATGTCATAAAAATTTAGGATTTATATAGGGAATGTACAAACTTAAGTCAGCAAAAACTAAATTAATTTTGCCCTATATTGTGATGGTGAACCATGATATACCTTATAATCTTGTCAAAAAGAAAAGTTGTAGCTGTGGTCACAGGAAAAAAAAAAAAAAAAATCACCTCTCAGCCTTTTGACTTAGATCAGTTGGAGTATCTCTTCTTATCAGTTTAATATCTGTTATATCCTCTATGCAAGGACAATATATTAAATGGATTTTTGGAGCAGGGAGATAGAATAGGCTTTTGCTCCATTCACTTCACTCATCGACCTGGTATTGCAATACTTCCAGAAATAGTGTACCCCTACCAAGAAAAAAGAAAACACAGTAACATTCCCTTTTATCTCACAGAGTTGAGCATTTATTCCCTGTCAGATAAGAAATATATTAGGTGAAAGTGGCCTTTCAGATTACTAATAATAAAGCTAAGCAGTTATTAAAATGAATAATTAAACAAATTATTAAACCAATTAATAAAACAGTTATTAAAATTAACAACTAATTATTAAAACTAAATTGTTAGGAATAATTTCTAGAATTCTATTTATAAAAGAAGTAAAAAAATGATAAAAATATGAACTAATGATACATTACCTATTACAAAAATATGAACTAATATATTACCTATTACAGTACTTAATATAGTGGACCCTCAGTATATGTGGAATTAAATAGGGTAAATAATAGATGCATGTTTTAGAATATGAAAATAAAACGGTTTTTGTGTAGCTTTTCAAATTCTCTGCATTTCCTTGAGATTCTAAGTAAAACCTTTTAAATTTTAAAGAAAATTCTATAGGGAGCATTTTAGTGGTGGTGTTTCTGTGTTACACATTGTAAGTTGCTGAAGTATTAAAGGTTGTTTTTAAAATGTGCATACTCTGACATTGATTGAGAAATAGTGTCACTCAATAATTATCCATGTATCTGGTGGTCTAGTGGCTAGGAAAAAAAAATAATTTTTTTTGAAAGGATAGTTACTCACGTAAACACTTGGATTTTGTTTTCTGTACCAGCATGAAAACTAATGAATTCACTGTTGCATTTCTCTTGTAGGTGGTAGGCTATGCTTTTGACCAGGTGGATGATCATTTACAGACTCCCTACCACGAAACAGTCTACTCCCTGTTGGATACACTCAGCCCCGCCTACCGGGAAGCCTTTGGAAACGCACTCCTTCAAAGACTGGAAGCTTTGAAAAGGGATGGACAGTCATGACTACACTTTTTCCTTTCAGAGGGGCTGGTGCTGGTACAGAATGTTGATATAAAGCTTGAAATTCTTGCATATGGTCATAGAAAATGCATCTTTGGTTTTGTGTTTTTATCACTTGCTTTCAACTTAGGCTTTTGGCTCAGAAGATTATTGAATAATGATTTGTCTTAGTTTCTGTTTCAGTAAGGGAATTCTGAGGCCGTTGCTATGATACCATCATTAAGACATTCACATGTCTTCATATAATATCTCTTCATTTCAAATCCTAATCAGTATTTCATACTCTTATTACAGGGCTTTGATGCTGCCAGCACTGTCTTTTACATAGGAAATTCTAGATTTGCACAGTAATAGAGGAATTAGAATTACCTAACTATACACTTTGATTCAACCTGCTAAATCAGGGGTTCACGACTAGCTTGGAGAAACTTTGTAGTAATTAATTGCTACTAGCCTTATTGGAAACAAATTATCAACTAGTTTCCCCTGCACAAATTTTGAAATTCACTGCTTCACTTAATCTATTTATATTAGAAATAATGGATTAATAAAGATTATTTAATTATATATTACTGAACTAGTATTAAATGAAAAACAGGGACTGAAATAGTTCTGTATTCCGTGTTTGCAACAGCCAGCCAACTAAGCAGAGGATAAACCGTTAGCAATGAATGTACTAATTACTCATTTCCAAGATATCGAAGCACATAAGCAAATACAGGAACAGACTTCATTCTTTTTCTTAACAAAAAGCATCTTCGGTGTGTGATTTAAAAGAAAGAAGATTCTGGTTTCCTAGAAGACAATATTTTGGCCTGTGTTGATTCTTATTCTGAATGTGTGTTTACATAATGTACAGTATATATTCAGAAAGTATTTTTGCTTCAACATTTACTTTCTATGATGTAGTGCTTTGGTATTCCCACAGCACCCCACCTTCCCCAACAGATGTACAGTGTTCTGTCTCCATGCAAAATCTACAATGTAATATGAGTGCATTGTATGGGTTTGAAACCAAAGGATGAATGAAGCATTCAGAGACTTAATATTTGAAAAAGGGATACTCAGTATTTTATATTTTATTACAGGTACTGATATTTATAAATTTAATAAACTGTACCATGCTGCCGCATGTTTTCAAGTACATGTTGAACAATAAGGATTGGGGAGTTGTTTTTTAATGGTCACCTAAAGCAGCTGCTGTAGAAATGTTGAACTAAAATTTTGCATCTGGTCACACCTTCATGCATTTGTCATTTGCAGATATTTTTCCATCATTATTAAAAAATAGGAACTTTTAGGCTCTGAAGATCATGTGGACCAGAGCAAATTAAAGTTCAGTTTGTGTCACAATTCATTGCCAGACTTCTTTGGAATGCTTTGTTTGATGATGTATATTCATTCTCAGCTTTCTTTTCAGATGCTTAACTGGGCAATGAAGTCTAACTTCAGGTTGAACTTTCTCATGCTTAATCTCAGGCTAAATGTAAATGATATTTGTAAAGTTTGAATAAAATTCAGTTTACTCATTTTGAGTTAGTATGAAGAAAAGTGATTGTATGTTTAAGAATTGAAATTGTTCATTTTGTGATAAATGATTAATTCCAAGAGCTTGTTTCCATTTTTTAATTCTGCATTGTTACATTTGGATTTGAAGTGACTGAAGTGAGCTTTCTGTTGTTATTACTATGAAAGAGAAATGAGGAACAAGAGGAGAGGACGTTAATAAAACTACACAGATATACATGAGAATCCAGATATTAAAACCTCCATTTTACCTGTTCTGTTTAAAGAACTTAACCAGCAGATAGGCCAGGTGTGGTGGCTCACACTTGCAATTCCAGTGGTTTGGGAGGCGCAGGCAGGAGGATCACCTGGGGCCAGGAGTACAAGAGCAGCCTGCACAACATAGATCCCAGTTTTACAAAAAATTATAAAAGTGTGGCCTGGTGACACACACCTGCAGTCCTAGCCCATTAGGAAAGCTGAAGCAGGAAGATTACTTGAGCCCAGGAATTGGAGACTGCAGTGAGCTATGATCGTGCCACTGCGCTCCAGCCTGGGTGACAGAACAAGACCGTGTCTTAAAAAAAAAAAATTACAAAACTTAACCAGATAAATTAAGCCTTGATTTCACTTCTAAAGCAAAAAGAAAAAAAAAAAAAAATTTTTATGTAAATAACTCTTACAAATCAATAGGAAGAAAAAATGCAAACAGTGGGCAAATAATATTGATCAACTCAGAAAAAAAAATGCAGATGTCAGTAACTACTTGAAAGAGGTCCAACCCAACCACTAAGAAAGAAAAATTTTAAGTGATTGGGTCATTTCACCTACTAATTTTGTGATTCTTCTTATTTAAACTTAATACCAGTAAGGATTTAATGAGGAAGCACTCTTACAGTCTATTGGAGGATATATTGGTGAAATCTTTCTGGAAACATTGGTAATAAATCCTTTACAAAGTTTATAACTTCTGAATTGGTAATATACTAGCAATCTAGCATAGGGAAATGATTCAGCAAAAAAAACCTGTTATATAAGGATGTTCATTTTCCCTAATGAAAAATTGGGAAGACTCTAAAGAGTGGTGAAGTTATACTACATCTTTTGATGGAAAAATATGCAACCACTAACAATCATGAAAAAATGGCAATGAGAAAAAAATTATGCTACATAAAAAAAGGACATAAAACTATACATACTGTGTTTTGAAAAATAATTGTATATGTAACAAATGAAGATTATAGGCTGTTAGTAGTCATCACTAGGTGATAAAACAGGTAATTTTCATTTTCTTAATGCTTTTTCACATTTTGTACATTAGCTTGTATGTACTAATTAGAAGCAGGAAATGCAGTAGATGTCGGGTTTAAGCTAGCTAGAGGCTGTCTAGCAAAAGCACCAAGCCTTGCTGAGTTGTGTCTGCTCCCAGGATCCTTGAAGAGGCAGTATGATTATGAAGAGTGCATACCTCATTTCCCATAATGACACTCTTCCCACCTTTCCTCCAGGTCCGGCTGTTACTAATGTACTTAAAACCATTAGCTTCTTCTGTTGCACACTGTGCTGTTCTCTCCCCGGTGTTCGAAAACATAAAATGTGCTGTTTGAATGTTGAGGAACATAGTAAGAAAACACTGAGATTCTGATAGGTGCCACATTGACTTCAGAACTTTCTTTCCAATCCCTTTATTTTCTGGATGATACGGGTGAGAGAGACAGATTGAGCAACTTGCTCAGCAACTGCCTGTGAGCAGCGCAGTTGGATCAGAACCCAAGTCTTCTGACTCCACTGGCTGTCCCCCATACAGTATGTGTTAGTAAAAGCCATCACGTTAACTTTGTGTTTATATGAAAACTGATTTTAAAAGAGGGAAATGATAACAAAGGAAACATACATTAGTTGGTATAATAGAATTAGCAGAATATCTGGCCCGGGCGTGGTGGCTCACACCTCTACTTTGGGAGGCTGAGGTGGGTGGATCACCTGAGGTCAGAAGTTTGAGACCAGCCTGGCCAACATGGTGAAACTGTCTCTACTAAAAATACAAAAATTAACTGGGTATGGTGGCACACGCCTGTAATTCCAACTACTCGGGAGGCTGAGGCAGGTGAATTGCTTGAACCCAGGAGGTGGAGGTTGCAGTGAGCCAAGATTGCCCCTGCACTCCAGCCTGATGGACAGAGTGAGATTCAGTGTCAAAAAAA